TGGGGGGGGGGCTACTCATCTTTTTAACATGTTTTGAAAAAAAAGCAAAGTTTCTTCTTTTCTTGCAGATCCTTGACGCCAAAGAAGAAATATAAAAGACTGGCACGGGTGATCCAAATATACAACATAACAATTTCCAACCGCACCCAAAAGCTTACTGCTTTCCGAGGAACTGCCCCGCCATCACAAAGTGCCTACTGTCATCGTTAACAGATCTGCAGCAACATCCCAGTATCTACTGCTACAAAGAATCTGTTTTTCACTTACAAAACCGAACAGAAAAGGTCCGTGAAAGCTTTAAGTTTTCGCTGAATGAGTCAGCCAGCGATCCCCTTTGAATGAAACAAAAAAAATCCTCCAAACTCCTTTATACAGTGACGAGTCTCAGTGACTTAAAATCTCAGAGAACAAAGTGCCAAAAGTAGTACAGCGATTGGTTTGGAATACTTGCAAAACTGCTTTAAAACAGTAAAAAAAAAACAAACACAAAAAACAAACAATTGGCTGCTCTGTGACGATCAAGACAAAGGGTTAATTAATAAATGCGCAGATTCTCATTAAAGGTGCAGAGTAAAAAAAGTTCACTATTGTTGAATTCTAAGGAATAAAATTAGTCAACTGTGACGTAGAATAAGAAGCCAAAGACTTCGTTCTGATCTTGTTTTGTAGGCTACGACGGAGGAGCGCATATCCTAGTCCCCCCAAAAATCAAATCAAAAGACTTAAAGTGCCAAATTAAGCCTGTAAAGGTTTAGAACATAAAGCGAGAAGTCCTGTACCAAAGCCTGAAGAGTCAACACTGAGCTTTAAAAAGTTGAGACACTAAACCGGAAAAGGTCTTGGACATAACGTGAGAAGCCCTGACAGTAAGCCTGAAAAGTTAACAATCCTGAAAAGTCAAGACACTAAGGCTAGAAAGACAAGACACTAAGCCTGAAATGTCTTGTGCTTAAGCCTGAAAAGTCAAGACACTAAGCCTGAAAAGTAAAGACGCCAAGCCTGAAAAGTAAAGACGCCAAGCCTGAAAGTCTAGAGTCTAAGCCTGAAAAGCCAAGATGAAGTTCGACGAAATCGTGCAGATGCTGGGGGAGTTCGGCACCTACCAGAAGCGAGTCTACTTCCTTTTGTGTCTGGCCTCCATGTCGTGCGGGGTACAGATCATGGTCTCTGTGTTCACGCTGGGAATCCCCAAACACAGGTGAGTCACACAATACTTTTAGTTTTGAGTAAGAGTAATACTGGATGCCCATTGCAGTTGGGATCGGGTCGGGTCGGGTCGTCTTGTGCCGCGATAGGCGGTTTGCTAGCCAGATTGAGAGCGCAAACCGCCCCGACCCGACTCGACCCCCTAATGGGTGCCCGTATAAACGTTTTATGTTTCTCGCAACTGCTTAAGGGCATAAAAGCGCCTTACACGAGACTGGTAACGTCTGTGATCCTTTTTTTTTTTTACTATCGAATCGTGGAAATATGATAGCAGGTGTTCATTGGTCAAAATATGGAGCCATTCTGCATGATCAGATCGGGTGAGGTCGGGTCGATTAATGGTGGCGCCAGGGCACACTATATTATATCAACTTGAACACTAATTTACTTCATCAAGTTTGATCCGGAAGTCCACTGGGGACTATGGGATTCCACGCTCAAACAAAAGAGTTTATCCCTCGATTCGTAGTAACCACCTGAATGGTTGTTTTCCTCAAGTGCGTCATATGGCGTCCAAGCAAAAACAAGGATGTTTCTGCCCACCCAAAAGAAAAACAGCTACTGTCAAATGTATCAAATGTATCAAATGAAAATTTGAACTGCAGTGTGCACTGACTATTAGAACAGAACAAGCGGTTCGGGCAAAAATTACAATATATTGAAATCGCAAGAGCAAAAGGTTATACAAAAAGTCAGCTAGGAGGGTAGAGGATGTAGCGGACAACGATGAGCAGCAGGTTCAGAGCCAGAGAAAACTCTCCCCCCCCCCCACCCCCACCCCTCTCTCCCCCATTCTCCCTCTCTCGTGTTTGTATCATATAAAATTAAATCGATAGTAAGCTAGCCACATAACCCCCTCCCTCCTCCAACACCCTTCTTCAAATAAGCAAGGTTTACATTGAATGCCCGTTCATGATAATTAAAAGTAAAAGGCCAAGAAGTCTCGTAAACCTGAAACGTTTAGACTGTAAGGGCATTTTGTCTGCCTCGTTTCCTCTAACCCCCTTTTCCCCTCACCATAAAACAATAAAAACTGCCATAACCTTACAGAAAACACACGCAAAGGGAGGACGCATTACCCAATTCTTCCTCCACTCGTTGTCTAGACATGATGTCTTATCTATTGTTTCCAGGTTCAGCCACCTCTGCAATCTAAAAGCCTCCACTCTAAGTGGCTCGATATAAATTTGCTGGTCTGCACTTCGAGAGGAATGTGCCCACAATCTTGTTCATTTGTGTCAGTTATCGTGACCAACAACTTAAGGACTAAAGCGGCGTCTGTGGTTTTGTGGTTTGGCGCTCCGCCGCGCCCACACGCATAGAAGACTTGGGTTCGATTCCCGTGTCGTGCATAGAATTTCTATCGATTGTTACGGTCTTTCTGTTGGTAGTTTTTGTTGTATTTCTTTTAGCCCGGGTTGGCCTTGACCGCATTGAAGCCTGCATCCTAAAGGATCTAAATTGTGCTGATTGGGGAGGGGGGTAAAATACAACATTTCGCATACATTTTTAAAAATCACACAAACAAAAAATACAGCAAAAAAGCAAATGCAATAATACACCTACATTTGAAAAAGCAAGTAAAAACGAAAACAAATTGGCCTAAAAAATTAATAACTGAAGGGCACATTATTAAATTCCAGTTCAACATTCAATAATTTAATCATAATCGCTTCGTTTGACCATGTCATAGTTCGGAACTATAAATAAAATGTAGATGATGAAGGCCTTTCTTTTCAGGTTTGCCTGTTTTGTTTTGTTTTAGGTATAGTGGACATTTAACAAATTCATAAATATGAATAACTCGTGTGTTGGTGCGGGCTGTCCAATCACCGGTTTCCATTCATCGTGGTACAATATCTTACGGTCCCACCCAGGAAGGGTCAATGACAAGAGATATCAGAAGAGAGAAAGTTGACGTGGGATCTCAAGTGATCTTACTGCGTTAAGATGATATCGGTGGACTTAACGGCACTCTTCAGCGCTGTAATGTTGCTTAAGAAGAGGACTTTCGATTTCCAAAGTTTATTCATCGGTAAAGGCAAGCTCTACTTGATGTCTCCATTCGGAATTTACTTGACCTACTATGCACATACGGAGTCTTTATTCTATGAGGAGCCATCTTCGGGGTAGCCATGACGTCATTCACGAAACATGATTCTAACTTATTTTTCGAAGGGGGACTTCAGCTAAACCTTTACTCATTCATCTCCGACAGGGCCGAGCTTAGGACATGGGTCATCACGGAAACTGTCCAACGTTCTAGAACTCGGGTGTCAAACTCAATAGCTCAGGGGCGCCAAACTTAAATCACCATTAGTTGCCGACCGTACCGGATTAAACGCTTACTGAGCAATGGAAAGCTAAACCTTTTTTAAACAATGATATGATTTAAACAGGTAAAAATCAAGGCATACTAATGTTCACTCTTTAACCAATTTGTCAGATGTGGATGTTTGACATCTTTTCTTGGCAACAAGGTCGTTTATGTTTGGAGTAAGGTTCTATGTTTTGGAGATTCTCAGGATGGAATAACAAAAACTCTCTCGCGACCCGGATGTAGCATTATTTGCTAAGCCGGATGCGAGCAGTGGACCTTGAAATAAACACATATATGTGTTCCAGAATGTTCCGTGACGCTGTCCAATTTGTATTAAGCTATCGGTGTTCTCTCATCACCCCCCCCCCCTCCACAGACGTTCTCATGCTCGCTAAAAAAAAGCAAAGGAAACTATCAGGAAATAGGGTCGAAACGACCAGGGTAGCACTCGTAGATTTAATGAAAAAGCAGGGGAGAAATATAATAAGGCTGATGTTAGGGGACCGTACGCCCCAATAGCGCTTGGCGCTAGGTTACCGTACGCCCCCATAGTGTTTGGTGCTAGGGGACCGTACGTCCTACCTGCGCTAAGGCGTGGTGTTACGGGACCGTACGCAGATATGTGCATGCATCTGGACTTTGCAAAAATACTGGAGGAAAACGGCCAGTTTAACGAAGCTCCTGACGTAAGGAGTTATTGCAAGGAGAATGTTTAAAATATACTTCTGAATACGATTGTGAGGAATCCAGTGGCCGTGGGTGAA